CGATGTGGGACTCGATCCCGGGACTCCAGGATCATGACCTGAGCCGAAGGCAGTCGCTTAACCAACTGAGCCACCCAGGCGCCCAACCATTACTTTAATTCTTATTTAGTATCACTGTTATCTATAATTACTACAGATTTTTAAGGAAAATGATACTATTTTTGTAGCCTTGATGTTTATATGGCCCCAAATATCATCAAATTGAATACTAAACTAGAACACAGATACAAATTCTAACACTTACATATATAATATATATTCAAAAGTACTAATAGAGTCTTCTGAAGCTGCATCTAATATATACATATTTTTTCATTAAACCAAAGAGCATTGTGAGATATATTTTGTCACATAGCAACATTAAGCTTGTAAGAACCTACATATTAATCATGGGAACACAGAATTTGGGAACTAGAAGACCTTCGAGATTAAGAATTCATACTAATCAGGATATCCTCATATCTTGCCTAAACCACTGGTAGTTTATTCACAACCAATGCTCTATCACGTACCTGTGAATTCCCATCACGTATCTGTCTGCCAAAGGCCTCCTCAATAGTTTATAATCTAATTATTGTGCTGCTAATGCTTAAAATACAAAACCCCATTTCTTCAGTATGAAGTTCACCTTACCAGTTTCACCTCCAAGTCCCAACTCAATAGGCTGTGTTTCAACAGCTGCACCTCGCCCAGTATGTACCTCATCCCACCTCCATAATTTTCTAATGGTGTTCTCTGCCTAGAATGTCTTCTTTCCTTCTTTTCCTATTAAAATTCTACTTAAATTTCAAGGCCCAGCTCAAATTATACCACCTATGGGATCTTCATTTCCCCTACTAAAAATTAACTATATTCCCATCCTGCGTTCCTATGTAAAAAATATCTGTGTTAGCATTTAATACAACTTGACTAAATGTAGTGTACCTCTTCCTCTCTCCTTCACTAGATATTAAGTTCCCTGGTGTGGGAGGAACAAGACCTTAATTTCTCTCCTTCCCACTGAGTATAGTACCTTGTATATAATCAGTACTCTACAGATATAAATTAAATTAAATGAGAGGTACAGTCTCTCCTAAATTAGAAATAATTTGGTTTATTAATAGAAAATTAAAAATCGCTTCCTCTCTAACTCTAAGTAATTCAAATGGAAAGTATAATTTGATGGTAATTACACATATTAAGTATTTACACATGTACATATTATAGGAATCAGAGGTATTTTAAAACTTCTTTCTGGGTGCCTGGTTGGCTCAGTCACAAGTTAAGCACCAGCTCCTGATTTCAGCTCAGGTCATGATCTCAGGATCCTAGGATTGAGCCCCATGTCTGGCTCCAGCTCAGTAGGGAGTCTGCTTGAGGGCTTGCGCTCTCTCTCTCTCTCTCTCACTCTCTCCCTCCAGCCCCCCAATCTCGTGCTCTCTCCCTCTCTTAAATAAATAAATCTTAAAAAAAACTTCTTTCTATTCATCAACCTAAAGTACTTTGAACTCTTAAGTTAAACATTTTCTTAACATAGGCTAGTAATGCTTTCAGTGCATTTAGGAAGAACAAAAAATAAGCTCTCCAAACCCCTTGCAATAGGAGAAAATTCTCAGAGGTTCTGGAACACTGGGTCTAAGAGCTTTGGAAATAGGCCTTAGAAACAATGAGTGTGTTCCTCCTTCCGGAATGCAACTAAGTGAGTGGCAAGCAAAAATGGGAAAGAAAGTGCTTCCTGGAGCTAGGAAAGCCAGGGAAGTGTGCTTGGAGTTCACTGGAGCCAGAGCCTCCTAATTTCTTACTGATCCTGCCACCTTTTGGCCAAATTATGAATCAAGACCCTGCAAGTGACAAGGAACTTTAGCTGTTATAGTAAGGTCAATCAACAGTTACTAAGTGTCATTGAAATAAATGGGAATGTTGTATCATTAAAACTTGTTTTGGCTACGCTATTTATGTCTGGAATATGCTATGATGCTTAACTGTTCCTTTAAATGTCCCTTTGAAAAATAAATCTTAGTAAAAGTAATATTACTGAAAGGTACTCCTGACCTGATTTGTACTCAAATATTCAAAATTAGGAAAATAGAAGCAGTACTAGTGTCACACATAAAATTCAAAGAATCAAAGCTAAGAAGAACAAGAATGCAGTGTTCTTAGCAGTGAGTAGATGAGAGCCTTTATATAATTTTTATTAGGTTTTAGCAGCTGCAGTAAGAATTGCTTCTATTGTAACTGATTGGCTCTATCAAGTGCTGCTCAGAAGAGCCGGAAATTCTCTTGCTGAATTAACAGCTGGATTAAGTGTCAACAACTAAGGCAAAACACACACACATACACAGCATCATGTTAAATGAAAGGGAAAAGGGAATTAATATTTGTTAAGTGCCTACTACACTAAACACTGTGCTGGGTGCTTTAAATATATAACCTTATTTAATTCTCACAACACTACTAGATAAACATTAGTCTACTCATTTTATGGATGAGAAAATTCAGTCTCAGAGGTTACAAGTATTACAGCTGAAATGCAAATAAGTGTGACTCCATTTCCTCAGGCTTTTTCCACTATATCACACTACCTTTAGAAACTCTCTAATGGATTTTATACTTACCTCTATGTCTCAAACGTAATTTTCTTCATTTGTAAAATAGAGTTGGACTTAATCATTTCTATGGTCCAGACTAACTCTAAAATTTCATGAAATCTATGATTCTTGTGGGACTCAATACAAAAAACATGGAGAGGGGCGCCTGGGTGGCTCAGTCATTAAGCGTCTGCCTTCGGCTCAGGTCATGATCCCAGGGTCCTGGGATCAAGCCCCACATCAGGCTCCCTGCTTGGCAGGACGCCTGCTTCTCCCTCTCCCACTCTCCCTGCTTGTGTTCCCTCTCTCGCTGTGTCTCTCTTTGTCAAATAAATAATAAAATCTTAAAAAAAAAAAAAAACCATGGAGACGTAAAAGAACAACTGCTCACTACAAATGTGCAAAGAACTGAAGGGAGACGTTCAAAGAAGAGTAAATAAAAATTGCCTTTGAAGGTAATAAAAGCTGCTCACCTTCACTCCAAATTTAAGAAGTCAAAATTAAAACATGGATGATTTACCATTTTCACCTCTGAGATGGACAAACGTTGTAGGGAAACAGATACTCATATATATCTTAGGTGCCACTAAAGACACAAATTCTTTGGAAAGCAATTTGGTAATATATATCAAAATTATAAATGTATACAGCATTTTGTCCAGGAATTTCACTTCTAGAATTTGTCCTATAAATCGATCTTATGTGCACAAAGGTATATGCAGATACACATTTATCCCAGCATTGTTTGAAATACCAAAGAGACTGGAATTAATCTAAATACCCATTCACTGGGGACTGGTTAAATAAATTAGGATAAGTCCATACCACCGAATTCTATGCAGTATGCCAAAGGAACATAGTAGATGAACGCAAGCTATTATGGATAACATCCAAGTATATAAAGTAAAAACAGCAAGAAGTAAAAAACAAAAAAATGATAAATACACATATGCATCTAGAAGCACAGACTATTTCTAGGAGGCAATGTGAGAAATTAGTAACAGTGGTTTTCTCTGGGGAAGAAGCTGTAAGTCTGGAATTAAAGGGATAAGCTTATCATGCATCCTTTTAAAAATTCTTTTTACTATATGAATACTGTGATGTAAGCATTTTTACCTTTTTTAATTAAAAAAGGTGTTTATAACAAACAGTAGTCTCTGGAGTCACTCAAGAACCCTTTAAATGTGAAGGTTACTTACAAGAAAAAAAAAAGAATTAATGCCAGGAATTTTTAACATGTCAAATTTCTTCTAATCACCTCTGATTTCTGTGTGTGTGTGAATTTCAATCTACAAGCAACAACAAATACAGCACAAGCACCTCCAGTGTGCAAGATATGATAGAAGGTCTGAAAAGGAGTATTTTTTACCTCTGTCTCTCGGTCTCTCTCTCTCTAACTTCCCAAATTCAGAGTCTCACATTCTAGGGCATGTTGTGACAAATCATACAAATCAATGGTAAAGTTGCCAATTCCGAGGGCATGGCCATATGGAATATATCAATTTCTTAGTTGTGGAAACTCATCCAGACTAAAAAGATCCTATGCTTATCTGAACTATCAATTCCGCAATAATTAGTAAAATAGTAGTTAAAATACCAAAAATTCACAAACCCTAATAATTATGAGATTGAGAAGTTATCTATATAGTATCAAAATTACATGTGAAATTCATAAGAGGTTAAGTATCTAATCATAAACAAAGCACTCTATTTTCAAATCAGTAAAATATAATTATTAGGTACCAGATTTTGATGTTATTCCAGAAGATTTGTGTTAGGAAAAAACCATAAAATTTCCTAGGAAAACAAATTGATAAGGAGTACAAATGTAAGAGGAAAGACTATTTATGCACTAAGGGCCAAATCTTATTCAAATTTCATGAAAACTTCTGGGCCATTAGTATTCTGTTACACTGTTTTCTCTTATATAGTAAATTTACAAATTTATTTCCTCTGCTTCTCAGTAAAAATAATAACTATAATAGATGGGTATACCTCACATATTAAACAATAAAAATAAACCAACATTTATGAAAAATAAGATTAAAAGGAGGGGTGCATGGGTGGCTCAGTCGGTTAAGCATCTGACTTCAGCTCAGGTCATGATCTCGGGTCCTGGGATTAAGCCCATGTCAGGCTACCTACTGAACGGGGAGTCTGCCTGTCCCCTCCTCTCTCCCTCTGTCCCTCCCCCGCTTGTATGTGTGTGTGTGTGCTCTATCTCTCTCAAATAAATAAAATCTTAAAAATAAAGAAAATGAGCTACCCTCCTTTAGTTGCTGGGTAAATTCTAGTAAATAACTTAATCAATTTATGTTTGACTCTGTCCAGGTTGGAAAAATTATACATGTATACAATACTAGAAATTTTTAGCAAAGCACTGAATTCAACAGATCAGAATAAGAAATTTATATTTTAAAAAATAAGATGTACCTTTTATCTGGGTAGCAAAATTCAGTGCCAATTTTGCAAAGAGATCAGGATTTTCAAACTTGTCCTCCTTAACTTTTAACCAGACACAGTTCTCAGATAATTCTTTGGGCTCAATCTGAAACAAAAATAACAAAGATAAGTATCTAAATTATTACTGCATATTTAATTCTTCAAAGAATTCAATTTCACCAAGATTGATAGTTCCTTTATTTATCTACCTACTAAATCAATTTCAGGATCTATCAAAATAACATTTAAGTAAATATTCATTGGGGAAGTCCCAGAATTCTATTGATGTACAGAAAAGATACACAACAGCAATTAGTCATATAGCAAATTACATTTAAAAAAGTCTTCTGGGGGCACCTGGGTGGCTCAGTCATAAGCATCTGCCTTCAGCTTAGGTCATGATCCCGGGGTCCTGGGATCAAGTCCCACATCGGGCTCCCTGCTCGGCGGGTAGCCTGCTTCTCCCTCTCCCACTCCCCCTGCTTGTGTTCCCTCTCTCTCGCTGTCTTTCTCTGTCAAATAAATAAAATCTTAAAAAATTAAAAATAAATAAAAAAGTCTTCTGGAAGGAATCTTAAAAATAGTTTAGTAAATCCCTCCCCCAACTCACATATATTTTTTTCTCCTCCTGGATTTTTAAAACTGAGGAAACTAAAATTTAGAAAAGTGAATTAATTCTCCATATTTACTGACCAGAGTGAAGGTAATAACCATAATAGCTGACAACTTACATACCTCCTATAATGTATCAGGTGCAGTTTTAAGTGATCTGCATATATTATGTAATCTAACCCTTATAATAATCCCTTGAAGCAGGACCTATTATTATCTCCATGTTAAAGATGAGGAAACAGCCCCAGAAAGTTTAAATGGCTGTCCAACTAGTAAATGGCAAAGAGGGGAATTAAACCCAGGCAGTGATGCTCCAGAGAATTGTGCTCTTAACCACTACATCGAAACCCAAGATTAGAACTGTACATTTTCCAGTACATCATGATGCTTTGTGTTGTATAAGTACCATTTCACTGTATGCTTAAATGCTAAATGAACATATCATTAAATTTATACATAGAGACAACTGGACCAACAGCATCTGGATCCTATAGTTTAGTGGACTGTACCTAATAAAAAATAACTACATTCCAAAAACATTTGTACCTCATTTATGAGCAAAGCATAAGTATAGTCTTAACTTAAATACTGGTTTAACCATGATTCTGGTCAAACCAATTTACTATGTAGATACTGTCATATTTCACTCTAAGTATGTTCATTAGAAGATTAGTTCCTACTAAATAGGCACTGTGTCAATCTTGATAAGAAGCTTTTTACGAGACATATTCTTATAATAATAAAGCAAAATAGGAGTGCCTGGGTGGCTCAGTCCGTTAAGTGTCCAACTCTTGATTTCAGGTCAGGTCATGATCTCAGGGTCATGAGATCAAGCTCCATGTCAGGTTCAGGCATGGAGGCTTCTTAAGATTCTTTCTCTCACTCTCTCTCTCCTTCTACCTCTACCCCCCTCGCATTCTCTCTAAAAGAAAAAAAAAAAAGCAAAATAACATTCAAAAGAAAAAAACCTCATAAATTACATTAAAAAATAATTAGGTTATGTCACTACAGAATGCTGCCACCTATTCCATACTATCTAAATATTTAAAACTAAAACAAAAAAGGGATGCCTGGGAGGCTCAGTTGGTTAAGTGTCTGACTTCAGCACAGGTCATGATCTCAGGGTCCTGGAATTGAGCCTGGCATCATGCTCCATGCTCAGTGGGGAGTCTGTTTGTCCCTCTCCCTCTGCCCCTCCCCCTGCTCGTGTTCTCTCTCTCTGATAAATAAAAATCTTTAAAAAAAACTAAAACAAAAAAATTCTCTAAGAACAAAAATAACTAAGATAAAAAAGCTCAGTAATAATAAAGATTATATTTAAGAATGTTGTAGTACTTAAAACAGTACAAGAATCAAAATCATGTTTCATTTGGTGATATATTTTATATATTATTCTCTAGCACCATTTTCACTTTGGTTTTCCTTTTGACTTCTACATTAATTTCCAATGATCTGTGGAGTTTCCAATTCATAGGGTACTAGACTGAAAGATAAACATAAGATGGTGAACTCACAAAGGAAAGCATGAGTCAGCAGTCATCTTCTCAAGCAGTATGCAATACTTATATGGAGCAACAGTTATTCACATATTAATGATCAACTATGGCTGGACAAAGACAAAAATAATCTAGTCATAAAATATCTGGTCAAATACTCTAGTCTAGTCATAGTCATAATCACCTTTGACCAATTGATTCTCTTCATGGGCACCTCAGGTTTATACATTTTTTTCTGCTTCATCCCATAAGGCAAATCAAGTGCTGCTTCTGGGAAAGGAGGAATTCCTCCTCCAAGGGGAAGTGGTGGAGGTCCCCCAAACAAAGGTGGTGGTGGTGGTGGTGGTATACCAATCATTCCAGGTAAAGGAGGTGGAGGAGGAGGGGGAGTTCCTCCAGGTAGAGGTGGTGCTGGTGGAGGTGGCAGCGGTGGGGATGACCCACCACCTGGCAATGGAGGTGGTGGAGGAGGGCCTGGAATTCCTGATGAACCTGAGAGTCCATGTCCCTGAAACATATGTAATACAATGTTTAAAAGCTTTCAGTAAAATATAATAGCAAAGAAAACTTATCAGTAGACATTGGGGGTTTAAGATTACATACACTTTATTTAATTTAGTAACATCAAAGGGCTTAACAGTAACTGAAAAAGACTCCCATAGATTTTTGATAAGCATTATAAACTCTGTACAAGGACTACTTCTGCTAACACACTATAAAAGTTGGCATCCTCAAAGATTTTGTGAAACACCCCTCCAAAATAATGAAAAATTACCTATCATTATAAATACATGCAAAGAAGTACTGAAGTGACTTGAGCCTATTAGACTAGCTGGTTTGAATATGGGATAATTAATACAATCATAGGTCTGATTCCCTTGGAGCCAATTAGCTTTACACAGAGTCTATCACATAGCACCAGTAATTTAGTAGTCTTCTAGTCCCAATAATTAATACTGAGTAACATAACATCCATTTGCATGGTAATATATGTTTATCAATGTTTTTACAGCTATTATTTTTTTTTAAAGATTTTATTTATTTATTTGAGAGAGAGAGAATGAGAGATAGAGAGCACAAGAGGGAAGAGGGCAGAGGGAGAAGCAGACCCCCTGCTGAGCAGGGAGCCCAATGTGGGACTCGATCCCGGGACTCCAGGATCATGACCTGAGCCGAAGGCAGTCGCTTAACCAACTGAGCCACCCAGGCGCCCACAGCTATTATTTCTTTTCATTGTTATTATAACCCTGTAAAGTAAGTAGGGCATTTTTATCTAAACTTTATCTCACTGCTTATAGATGAGAAAAAACATAACTACAAAAAGGTTAAATGACTAACCAAAGGTCACAGAGTCTGAAATGTGGTTAAGATTTGAATGTGGGTTCTTCTTATACCTAATGTAGTCCTCTTTCCACTATAGCAGACTATCTCCTCATGGAGTCACTTGCCATGAAAAGAATTAATTCAAACAGATTGGATGATGAGGACAGTATAACTTACTTCTACCATAAGAAAATGACTTCAACCTCATTCTCTAATGATAATGGATAACAGATGAAGGACAGTATCTCATTCCAAACTGTTTACTTTTTAAGTTAATCTGTACCTGTTTCTTTAAACCATTGCTGGTTACAATGGTTCACTTCTAAAATAAATGAATATGGGCGCCTGGGTGGCTCAGTTGGTTAAGCGACTGCCTTCGGCTCAGGTCATGATCCTGGAGTCCCTGGATCGAGTCCCACATCGGGCTCCCTGCTCGGCAAGGAGCCTGCTTCTCCCTCTAACCCTCCCCCCTCTCATGTACTCTCTCTCTCTCATTCTCGCTCTCTCAAATAAATAAATAAATGTTTAAAAAAAAATAAAATAAAATAAAATAAAATAAAAGAAAAGAATATTAAAGTGAAGTTGGTTATTATAAACATTCCTAAGAAAATCCTACCAATGAACAGATGTATTTGTAATCAAGATATGACATTAGATGAACTGAATGAAAAGTTTAAAATTAATAAAATTTCTTGGCATAGTGTCATTTTTATTTGGGAAGAAGGTCTTCTTATCTTTACTAATACGAATTTCTAAGTTGGAGTACTTAATTGTACTAACTAAACTTAGAAATGGCTTTACAAAATAAATAAGTTGAAGCATATTTTAAGAATAATCAATTTAAAGGACTGACCTATGTATAAGAATATTAAAAATTAATAATCATAGAATCATGGAAACGTTTCTCATAATATTTAATATGCACTGTCCAATATTTTATTCATATGTATGATGTTTATGTGTGTATATACATATATGCAACTGAAGTAGTTACACACTCAACAAATAACAATCCTCCTCTGGAATGCAATCCTCTCCTGAAATTAGTAAGTATTACAATATGCAAAATTATTTTCATTTTACTTTTAATGTAGCAAAATTATAGAAAACAGCCAGATTTTTACAATCTTGACTGAGATCAAAGAAATTATGGAGAAAATCAAAATAATTTTTCTGAAAAGTTTAAGAAATTAGTAATTTACAAGTTTTATGTATAAATGGATTTGTTGAATACTTTGAAAGGTAAAATGTATATCCAATTTTTTATTGAAAGAGATCAAAATTATATTTGTTAACATCAAATTTTTACTCTATTAGATCATATCTATGATATGAAACTTGGGGAGCCATAAAAATGCTATCACTTTTAAGGGATTTTACTCAAGTTAAATGCATATTTCACAAATTTAATAAAGAATCTCAAATAAATGCCACCAGCCTTTAAAAATCAAATCGTATCAGCCCTTCTCTTCCCTCTCATGAACAATTAGGAATGCAACAATTAAATTAGGCTACAATAGAGTATTGAGAATTGAATATAGCTAATGAATAATTTAGTATTTGGCACAATTTTGGGTACACTAGAAAGGACTGTGTGACTCTGCATTTTTACAGATCAGTTAATTTAATAATAAATAAGCAACTACTCACTAAATAGTAAGGCCCTGTGGTAGGGTGACATTGAGGAATGTCACCATGGGTGGGGGGCAAAAACAAAAAGAAACTGAGTTCTCAGAGATGTGAAAAGGGAAGGCAGATGATACAAAAAAGGAGAAAGACTTAATGAAATAAATTATCAAATATTATAGGTAACTGAAACAGACTGAGGGTAGGAAAAGGCACTGCATTGAATAATTTGGAGTTCATCAGTGACTTCTGAAGTCATTTCTCAGTAGACTGATGGATACAAATCTAGTCAATCAATAAACATCTACTGAGCATGCACTATGTTAAGAGCTGTTAGGGAAAAAAAAAAAAAAAACACAGGCCCCAAATGGCATCAGTTAGGCTGAGTCCCCAAACCAGAGCTTAATACATAATCTAACTGCAGTTTCAACATCCCCAAGAAATAGTCTTAACAGATGAGTCAGGAACTTTTAAATCAGCAGACAATATGTCAGCCACAGAAGTCCTCTCCAGCCCTTAATGGTAGATAAAGTAATCTGCATAGGACCTCTTGCTTTTCCCCCTAAGGGAAAGTGGCAGGGCCTAAAAGATCTTTTCCTTTCCCTAATAACTTGTTTTCCCACCCTCTTTTCATAAAAACCTTTCATTTTGTACAACCCCCTAGAATTCCCCTCTGCTTACTAAATGGAATGATGTCAAATTCATAATCATTTAATAAAGCCAAATAGACTGTCAAAATTTATGTGGCTGAGTTTTGTGTTTTAGTGAACATTTTTTTCTTCCATTTTATTTTCTCAATCATTGTTTTCATTAATGGGCTTTGTAGGTTAAAATGCATAGTAAAAACTAAAAAGAAAAAGCATACACAGAAAAAGGACATTATTCTCACCAACACTGATAATCTTCCATTTCTTAATAACCATTTAAAACATAAAAAGTGCTGAGGGTATTTAAAAAATAAAAATAAAGTGTTGAGAGGACTTAATCAGTTCTAAAGTTTAGACACCATAACTAAGATCTTGAGTGTATATGAGTGCTTCTCATCATAGGTGATGCAGCAGGAAATGCAAAATTTCTAGGTTTTGAAATTATGCATCCAACTTTTCAAATCATCAAAAAATTTTTGCTCCTGAACAGTCTTGATTGTGTAATATAGTCCATTAAAACTATTCAGGGAAGTTTAAGCAACTAATACCTTATTTTTATCCAAACAGTAAAATTATTTATTATCCTGGAAAATTAAATCTGTAGTTATTTCAACTAAAATGCAAAACTGCCAAAAAGTCTGCTTCTGGTCACATTTTTCCTTACATCTAACAAGATAATTTTCTACCATCAAACTCACTGTGACATGACATAAAGTCTATACCTTCTTTCATTACCTGGGTTCGAAGTTGCTGGATTTCTGTTTCAAGCTCTTTAATTTTTTCTTCTCTTTTTTGAAGCTCAGCTTGAGCTTCCTGTCGAGCTGTGAATTCTTCATCAAACTGCAATGATCACCACCATAAATGTACACTTAATAACATAGTTTTGAGAAAGTTTTAAACAACTTTATGTATTAGATAAGTGGAATGTCTTTTGCTTTATTGAATTCCCAGGTCATTCAGAAAATCAAAGCTCCAGATCACTTTCATAACAATTAAGCACACCTGTTGAGGTGGGTTACTGATTATGGTGCTAGTAGAGAGGAAATATGGCAGCAACCCAAGGTAAAAAAAAAACCATTTTCACACACACACACAAAAAAATTTTTTTAAGATTTATTTATTTTAGAGAAAGAGATAGAGACAGAGAAAGTATGTGGGGTTTGGCAGAAGGAGAGAATCTTCAAGCAGACTTCCCATTGTGTGCAGAGCGAGACCTGGGACGCCATCTTGCCATGCATGAGATCATGAACTGAGCCGAAACCAAGAGTGGCATGCTGAACCAACTGAGTCACCCAGGCGCTCCCTGAACAAAATTTTAAAAGGGTGTACTGAGAAGTCTCTCTTCGCATATAATGGACATTTATACTGTTCTGTTATTGAAAAATAGGTTTCAGAATCATTTTCTTTAATGTTTCATCCTATACATTTAACTTTATCAAATTAGAAAATGAAACCTAGAGATGCCTGTGTGGCTCAGTTGGTTAGGTGTCTGCCTTCGGCTCAGGTCATGATCTCAGGGTCCTGGGATCGAGTCCTGCATTGGGCTCCTTGCTCAGTGGGGAGCCTGCTTCTCCCTCTGCCTGCTGCCCGCCCCCCCGCTTGTACTCTCACTCTCTCTCTCTCTCTCTCTGACAAATAAATAAATAAAATCTTAAAAAAAGAAAAAAAGAAATGAAACCTAAAAATTCACCATCAAGCAGTTCAACTCTGTAACTATATTTAACCTTGAAAAGAGAATACACTTTTAGAATGCTCAAATGATTGTACTTTAACACAAATTATAATATTTCTATTACAATCTTAATTGTCTAGCATCCAAAAAGTGGTATTCCACAAAATCTGACAGTAGAATGATATATGGATAGCCTAAATGGAATTCTCCTTCAGATGTTTAACCAAAACACCTACATAAAATACTAAAAGAGAGAAAATGAGAGGTTAAATTAAGATGTGTTGGGGGAAGGAGTTAAGATGGTGGAGGAGTAGGGGAACCAATGTTTGCCTCAACCTTCAAATACAACCACATGAATATCAAGTCTTTATGAATTCAAGAAATCACTAAGAGGACTGAGAGACCAAACTGCACAACTACAGGAAGAGAAGAGCCACACTGTGGAAGGTAGGAGGTACAGAGACGTGATTTAGGGTAATAAAGAATTACAGATGCTGTAGAGGGGAGGGAGCCAAATCATGGACAGAGGAAACAGAGTGGAAGAGTGAAAGAGAGAAAGCACAAAGTGCACAGAGGATCACACACCAAGAACACTTCCCCAAAACCATACACTGGGAAAATGAGAGGGGCTGATTATCATGAGTTTTTACAACCAGCAGAGCTAAAAGACTTAAGATTTAGAAGTCTGCACCATGGCCATTGTGGAGCCTGGGGGATGCAGTGGTACACCTGTGTAGGAGGCAGAGGCCTGGGAGCAGATGGCACAACCCGAGGATCCCCTAGGATGCACTAGAAGAGAAAGTTCCTCCTTCTTGGAGTGTATCTGCTAGAGGAGTCAATGCCTCTCCAGGGACAAAAGAGCCATCAGGTGGCATTGTGCTGCCCAGTTCCTTAGCATAGGGAAAGAGACAGCTGCTGAGGGCAGCTAACCTGGATGCTGGCTTTCTGCTGCACTTTCTAAACTTCAAGCTCCTGCCTGTTGGTGCAATTGCACTTATGGGACAAACTGACGCCAGCCCCAGGGTGGTGTGACACTCCGTCAGAGGATCAGCATGGGTCCATGCTTAACAGATACCACAAGTTATGAGTTTTGAAACTCAACTGATGTGCCTGAGATAAAAGACAGGAGCCCTGCACTGCTGGGGAGGTAATTGGCCTGGATACATGAAGGGTGAATGCAGGGATTTGAGGGAAGCCTGGAACACACAAGAAGAGACATTTCGCTCCTCTGTCAGGGATTCCCAGACACTGGCAAGCATGAACTCCCCACACAGCAGAGGCCTGAGGTGCCTACACCAAGCCCCACCTCCCTGTGCTCTGCAAAAGCTTCTTTACGAGGGCAAGTGTTCCTGAGAACCAATGCAGGGGGGCACACCCCCAGAACACCAGCACAAATGCCCCACATGCACCAAGTCTACTGACCATAGAGTACTACAAAGCTTCAACTCTAATGGAAAGAGGATCACGACTCTTTTAACAAGCAGACCAGAGCACACCTAGGAAAAACTCAACACATAATGCACAAGATCCAAACACTCTCCATTTGAGGCAAGGAGAAACTCTGCAGAGGACTAACCTGGGGGAAAAGCAGCCAAAAAACAGCAGCAGAGTGTACACAGCATACACCAGAAGCAGTTCCTGAAGTGTCAGGCGCTGGAGTGTATATGACCTCTCCTTAATAAAGCTATTACTCTCATGAACAGGAAACATATCAGGCTTTACTAACACACAGAAGAAGACAAGAGACCTAGACCAAATACCAAAATGGAAGAATTCATCCAAAAAGAAAGACCAAGAAAAGGCCATGGTCAGGGATCTACTAGAAACAGATACAAATAATATACCTGATTCAGAATTCAAGAGAAATTCATAAGGATACTATCTCGGCTTGAGAAAATGACTGAAGACATCAGGGAGTCCCTTATCAAGAGATAAAAGACTGAAAAACTAGTCAGGCCAAAATAAAAAATGCTATAGCCGAGATGTGAAACCCACTGTGTGTAATTATCCACAAGGATGGAAGAAGCAGGGGAACAAATAAGCAATACAGAAGATAAAGCTATGGAAAATAATGAAGTTAAAAAGAAGGAAAGAAAAATGTTCGATCATGAATGTAGACCTAGGGAATTTAGCAGAGTCCACAAACCACAATAACATTTGTATTATAGGAGTCTCAGAAGAAGAAGAGAGAAAAACGGGGCATAAAATTTAATTGAAATAACAGCAGAAAAATTCCCTAATCTGGGGAACAAAACAGAAATCCTTATCTAGAAGGCACAGAGAATACTGACCAAAATCAACAAAAGCAGGTAAACACCAAGACATATCATAGTAAAATTTACAAAATATAGAGATAAGGAAAAAATCCTAAAAGCATCAAGGGAAAATAAATCTAAAACGTACAAGGGAAGACAAATAAGGTTAGCAATGGACATTTCCACAAAAACTTGGCAGGCCAGAAGAGTGTGGCATAATATATTCAACATGCTGAAAACAAAAAAATATGCAGCTAAGAATATTCTATCCAGCAAGGATCTCATTAAGAATAGAAAGAGAGATAAAGAGTTTCCCAGAAAAACAAAAACTAAAGAAGTTCATGACCACTAAACCAACCCAGCAAAAAATATTAAAGGGGATGCTTTGAGTAGGAAAGAGAAGACCAAAGGTAACAAAGACTGGAAAGGAACAGAGAAAATCTCCAGAAATGACAACTTTACAAGTAATACAATGGCGCAAAATTCATATCTATCAATAATTATTCTGAATGTCAAAGAACTAAATGCTCCAATCAAAAGACAAAGAATATCAGAATGGATTAAAAACATGACATTCTAAAACCTTTGGGATGCAGTAAAAGCTGTCATAAGAGGGAATCAATACAGGCCTACCTCAAGAAGCAAAAAAAAACTCTCAAATACACAAACTAACCTTACACGTAAAGGAGCTAGAAAAGGAACTGCAAATGAAGCCTAAAGACAGCAGAAGGGAAATAATAAACATTAGAGCAGAAATAAATGACATAGAAATAAAAAAACAGTAGAACATATCAATGACATTAGGAGCTGATTCCTTGAAAGAATAAAATTATTAAACCCCTACCAGACTTCTCAGAAAGAAAAGAGAAAGGAACCAAATAAATAAAATCACAAATGAGAGAGGCTAGATCACAATCACCACCACAGAAACACAGCTATAAGAAAATATTTTGAAAAACTTTATGCTGACAAATGGGGCAATGTGGAAGAAATAGATAAATTTCTAAACACATATAAACCACCAAAACTAAAATAGGAAGAAATAAAAAACTTAAACAGACTGATAACCAGAGAAGAAATTGAATCAGAAATCAAAAAACTCCCAACAAACAAAACACTGGGGGCAGATGGCTTCCCAGGGGAATTCTACCAGACATTTAAAGAAGAGTTAATAGCTATTCTTCTCAAACTGTTCCAAAAAATAGAAATGGAAGGAAAACTTCCAAACTCATTCTATGAGGCCAGCATTAACTCAATTCCAAAACTAGACAAACATCCCACTAAAAAAGAGAATACATAACCAATATTCCTCATGAACATGGATGCAAAAGTTTTCATCAAAACACTAGCAAAACAAATCCAACATACATTAAAAAAAATCATTCACTGGGCGCCTGGGTGGCTCAGTTGGTTAAGCGACTGCCTTCGGCTCAGGTCATGATCCTGGAGTCCCAGGATCGAGTCCCGCATCGGACTCCCTGCTGAGCAGGGAGTCTGCTTCTCCCTCTGATCCTCCCCCCTCTCATGCTCTCTCTCTCTGTCTCATTCTCTCTCTCAAATAAATAAATAAAATCTTTAAAAAAAAAAATCATTCACCACAATCAAGTGGGATTTATTCCTGGGCTGCAAGGGTGGTTCAATATTCACAAATCAATCAACGTGATACACCACCTTAATAAAAGAAAGGATAACAACCATATGATCCTCTCAAGAGATGCAGAAAAAGCATTTGACAAAGTACTAGATCCATTCTTGATAAAAAACCTCAACAAAGTAGAGATAGAGGAAACGTACCTCAATATCATAAAGACTATATATGAAGGACCCACAGCTAATATCATCCTAAATGTGGAAAAACTAAAAGCTTCTCCTCTAAGGTCAGAAACACGACAGGGATGTCCACTCTCATCATTTGTTCAACATAGTGCTGGAAGTCCTAGCCTCAGCAATAATACAATAAAAGGCATCCAAATTGGCAAGGAAGAAGTCAAACTTTCACTCTTCATAGACTACATTTTTTTTTTAATGTGGAAAAGCCAAAAGACTGAACCAAAAAATTGCCAGTGTGGATACATGAATTCAGTAAAATCACAGGATACAAAATCAACATACAGAAACATGTTGCATTTCTATACACCAATAATGAAGAAACAGAAAGAGAAATCAAGAAAATGATCCCATATTCAATTGCACCAAAAGCCATAAGATACATAGGAATAACCCTAACCAAAGAGGTTAACGATCTGTACTCTCAAAACTATAGAACACATATGAAAAAAATTGAAGAGAACACAAAGAAATGGAAAAACATTCCATGCTGATGGATTGGAAGAATATTGTTAAATGTCTATACTACGCAAAGCAATCTACACATTCAATGCAATCTCTATCAAAATACCATCAGCATTTTTCACAGAGCTAAAACAAGCAATCTTTAAATTTGTATGGAACCACAAAAGACCCCAAACAGCCAAAACAATCTTGAAAAAGCAAAGCAAAGATTCAGACTTCACAATTCTGGACTTCAAACTCTATTACAAAGCTATAGTCATCAAGATAGTATGGTACTGTCACAAAAACAGATACACCAACTAATGAAACAGATTAATTATAAACCCAGAAATGGACCCACAACCATACGCTCAACAAATCGTTGATAAAGGAGGAAAGATTATCCAATGGAAAAAAGACAGTTTCTTCAACAAATGCTGTTGGGAAAACTGGGCAGCATCATGTAAAAGAATGAAACTGGACCACTTTCTTACAACATACACAGAAATAAATTCAAAATAGATTAAAGACCTAAATGTGAGATAGGTAGCCATCAAAATCCTAGAGGAAAAGACAGGCAGCAACCTCTTTGACATCAACTATAGCAACCTGTTACTGGACATGTCCACCAGAGGCAAAAGAAACAAAAGCAAAAATTAACTATTGGTACTTTTTCAAGATAAGAAGCTTCTTCACAGTGAAGGAAACAATCAACAAAACTAAAAGGTGAACTTTGGAATGGGTGAAGATATTTGCAAATGGCACATGTAATAAAAGATTAGTATCCAAAATCTATAAAGAGCTTACGAAACTTAACACCCAAAAAAACAAATAATCCAGTTAAGAAATGGGCAGAAGACATGAATAGACATTTTTTCAAAGAAGACATACAGATGGCCAACAGACACATGAAAATATGTTGTACATCACTCATTGTCAGGGAAATACAAATCAAAACTACAATGACATACCACTTCACAATGGTCAGAACAGCTAAAATTAACAGCACAGGGAATAGCAGATGGTAGTGAGGATGCAGAGAAAGGGGAACCCTCTTACACTGTTGGTGGGAATCCAAGCTGGTACAGCCACTCTGGAAAACAGTATGCAGGTTCCTCAAAAAGTTAAAAATCAAACTACCCACGACCCAGCAATTGCACTACTAAGTATTAGTATCCCAAAGGATACACAAATACTGAATCAAAAGGGCACATGCACCCAGATGTTTATAACAGCATTATCAACAATAGCCAAATTATGGAAACAGCCCAAATGTCCACTGACTGATGAATGGATAAAGAAGATGTGGTGTGTGTGTACACACACATATATATGGAATATTAGTCATCAAAAGGATGAAATCTTGCCACTTGCAAGGACGTGGATGGAGCTAGAGTGTACTATGCTATGTGAGTTCAGTCAGTCAGAGAAGGAAATACTGTATGATTTCACTCATATGTGAAATTTAAGAAACAAAACAGATGAACATAAGGGAAAGAAAATTTAAAAAGAGAGGAAGGCAAACCATAAGAGACACTCTTAGCTAAGGAGAACAAACTGAGGGTTGCTGGAGGGGAGGTGGGGTGCGATGAGCTAAATTGGTGATGGGTATTAAGGAGGGCATCACTTGTGATGAGCACTGGGTGTTATATGTAAGTGATGAGTCACTAAATTCTACTGCAAACTAATATTACACTATATGTTAACTAACTAGAATTTAAAGAAAAACTTGAAACATACATATATACATACATACATACATTCATAATGGTGTGCTAAGCAGGAGAGACCATCTCAATGGTGAATATCCATTTACTGCATCCTGCCCATCCCTAACCTCAGTCAGGGCACCAAGCCGAAACAAACAAGCCTGCATACATAGAGTAAATACTGCTTATATTCATCTATAGAATATATGCCCTTTATTATCAATGTCACTTCAAGTCATTTTAGAAGGCAATATATTTTTCCAATTATATTATTTCTGTTTCTAAATTTGATATATCTTACTCTCCAGAATTGTCTTTAGAGTTTGTGGAACAATAAAAAAGTATTTTCACTGTTAATAAATATTCATCCTCATAGATTTTACCTTTAGAAATTAAAAAATGTCAAACCAATCCAAGTCTGAAGAAAGAACAGGTAATGGAATTGGATTACAATAGTGTCTGGGTCAAACATGAAATGCTAACTAATTCTTTTATTCCTCTCTACTTGCATTCATAGAAAATGTTCCACAGAGGTTAGTCCAAATTGTTTCTAATCTTTAAAAATTTCAAACCACCCCAGATCCTCCACAGTTAGTAAATAACCATGTTTCCTAGGTCACTGAGAAGATGCTGTTTTAACTGCACTATACTATTCATGTTAAGACTTACTCTCTATTTCCATCCTCCCTCCCAATGTTAGATTCTTCTGTGTATTTTTTAAGCATGATACAAACTGTACAACTTTCCTCTATAAATTATTTATTTGTACATTTGAAAAGAGGCATGCAATGTTTCTGCTTGTAATTTAATGTGGCCTTAATCTATAAACCCATAGAGTAGGAATCACAGAAGTCTGAGATAAGCAGGTTGGAAGACTTTTTACAAGGCCACTAAACATATCCTCTTCTTTTAATGATGACAAAATTAAGATCCAAAGAGAGTAAGTGGCTTACTTAAAGTCACAGCTAATTTGTGGAAAAGCTAAGATCAGATCTTACAACTACTGCTTCTCATTCTAGCCACCCTACATTTTTTACTACTTTATATAGCCTCTTAAAATCACCCAGAATAAGAGAAGGCATTCAGATAACCACTGGGAGACCATACATGTTTTCATTCTAAACGTTGGAGATGAGAATAAAGCACTAAACACTGAAATGCTTTTTCTTAAAAATTATTTCAGGACTCCATTTCCCATAATATATGCTTACAGATTTTACCAGACAGATCATCACAGTTTGCGCCAGTCTGGTGGTGTCTAATCAAAGTGTCAGTGAAAAATTAAGGAGACTCTTAAGATTTTCAAAGGGAATTTTAAATGTGCTATTTAAAACAAGAACATTACAAATATAAAGGTCTATTAAAAAGCGTGCATTTTCTTCCACCAATAAAAATGACAACTTCACACAAACATTTTATGCTCAAGCTCTGAAAATTTAATCTAGTAACTGAAAGAGCAAAGACATTTCTTCAGATGCCCTGAAGTAACTTCAGTAATACTCTATAATTTCTAGACTGATAGCAAAAGTGATTATCTAATCTCCAAGGTAAGTCATAACTCTGAAGAGACAGCAATATGTAAGAACTTTATCTTGCTGTCAGAAGGCTGAAAACTGGAGAGTTTTTAGACTTGTGCTTCAATCCTTTTCCCTGCACCAATAGGAGAGAAATACTATACTAATGCTTCATAGGATCTAGAAAAAAAAATTCAACTTTTGGTAGAAACTAGTACAACTGTAGTTATGCTTTCATGAAACAAGGAAAAGACAACCTGAAATCCAAATAAAATTAACACAGCCATAAAATTTGTATTTACATAAGGCATTAACATACAAAGAAAGGGGAACCTCAAATTCCACCAAGTCTACATGAAGTTGCAGAACCATTTAAAAGTGGTAATTATAAAATTCAAAGAAGATAAATCTAAGCAGAGAGAGACAGAGATAAAACACTCTGTCATTCTGTTGCTATTTAATAGCACTGTCTTTAAACAGCAATAATAGGTTAGACTAGCTAAAAATCTAACAGTTCTCCAAAGGAGCTACATATTGTAAGTGAGAACTGCAAGAAAGCAATGAGGGGAATAGATTTTGGTTGATTGCTTCAAACTATATTCTTCCAATAAACTAATTTTATTTCATTTATCACTCTGGTAGAATATAGCTAGTGTTTTTCTTCCATAATAAATTAAAGGTCATGAGGAGGGAACAGTAGCAACTTTATCTTATCAGGAATGAAATCAATATTCTGTGGCTCTGTTTTAATCCAGAAACATGAAGTACTATAAAACTGAAACATTTATAAAGCCTCACATAAAGAAGATAAAATACACATTGTAAATAAATTATTAATTTAACAATTATGGCTAACATAAGCCTTACCTTCTTTGAAAATTCCACTGCTTTTTGTTCACTTTCTTCAACTTTTGCCTTGTTCACACAAGAATCTATTAAGATTGACAAAAAATGATTAGAAATTATTGCATCAGATCTCTGGGCAAAAGATGACTGCCAGCCTATAATTCTATGTAACATTCTCAACAAAATATGAAATAAACTAATGAGTTTATCAAGCTTATTATCAAATTTGCATGGAAGCCAGCATTCACATTAATTCTTAGGGAAGGTAAATTGATGTACACTTTCTGAAAAGCATATGGCCTTTCAAAGATCATATCCTCAATTACAGGAATCAATCCTAAGGAAATGGCAAGAAAAAGGCAAACATTTATGCAAAGAATGTTCATAGCAGATTCATTTATAATCGCAAAAACCTGAAAACAATCTAGATGTACAATAAGAAAGGACTGGTCAAGATGGTTATGATATTCCATAAAATGGAATATTATACAGACAATCAAAGTCACATTTTGAAGGGTAACATGAAAAAATTTTCATACTATAAAACTCCATTAAAAATCAGCATATAGAGAGATTAAAAAAATATATATATATATAAGAAAATGTACTTAGCCAAAAAGTGAGTAATGGTGGTGGAATGTACTGAGCTGAAAAGTGAGATTGGTGGTTTATTCTGTCACTTACATAAGCCTCTAGATTGCTTGGAATAAACGAGCATTGGTTTTAAAATCAGAAAATAATACATAATAATAATAAGGAATTCATCTTTGAATATTACTGTGAGTCTGCCTTGTGCTATGGAGTGAACAATAATATATAACTGGCATTCCACAGCTGTTGTTTTCTTCCTTTAAAGACAAACAAATGAGTTCATGCCCAAATTTTAGCAATAGTGATTTTAATTAGGTATAAAAACTGTTTAACTGTAATGTCATATAACATAGCATATTTCACGAGAGGTTTCACATTATCCTTCAGAGACTGTTCCAGAAAGTACAGCTAACTAGTAGTCTAGGATGATATAAGTTCATTTCCTTAGTGATCCAAGTAGATGAACATCATCACCTCAAATTCTTTCCTAGCTTTAAGGTCTACAAAAATTATAAATTGATCTACTTTGATAGAATTAAAAGGTCTTAAGTTACTGAAGTAAGCCTGTATTTCCTTTCTCAAACTTGAACACTAATATCTATTGCACATGTGATTTCTATAAAACCACCGAGGTACCAATATAAACTGAATCAAAGGATTTCAGAGTCATGTTTCTAAAGAGCAAAGCATTCATCTATAATAACATGTTTTTCCTATGTGTGTGCGCGCCACTGATTTTAAACTGTGAATTCAGTTTAGAGCATTAAAACTTATCAAATAGCTTAATATTTTCAACCACATAAGCAGAACTCTCATGATCAACATAATTAACAATTATAGTGATTGAGTACTCACAGACACAATGACTTACCAGATTTTAATAAAGGAAGTTCAGTGAGAACACTACCTTCAGAAAGTGAGTATTATACAGAAGAGAGTGAAACACAATCAAAGGACATTGAGGATAATATTACATACCTATCAGATGCGTGAAATCAATGTCTAATCTTTGCCTATACTTGAAATCTGGGTCCATACCACTGCAGTGCAGCACTATCTGTGAAACGCACTCCTCAATTATTTTGTAATACTGTGGCCTGAAAGAGAGAAAGTATTCTTGAATATCTTTTCCACCTATATAAGCCAATTTTCTTAAGAGGTGGTTCAGGGGCACCTGGGTGGCTCAGTTGGTTAAGCATCCGACACTTGATTTTGGCTCAGGTCATGATCTCAGGATCACAAAATCGATGCCCCCCCACCTTGTGGGGGCTGCATGCTCAGTGCAGAGTGTGCTTAAGAGTCTCCCCTTCTCCCTCTGTCCTTCCCCTCACTCATGCTGTCTCTCCCTCTCTCTCTCTCTCAAGTAAATAAATACATAAACTCTTTAAAAAAGTGGTTCAGCATGATAAAAGAACTAAGTCTTTTTCTAGCACTGTTAAAAGAACTCTTTCTAGCCATTGCATTCCCTTAAGAGAATTATGCCTAAACTTAACGATGGTCTGGACATCATAGTATAAAACCTATCATAATGTAATCAATTGTGAACACTTAGTGACTTAATACTCTAGTTTTTAGGAATTCATGCCTGTGTACAAAGATACTTACCAACCTTATCTACTAACTTATTGTTCCTAAAGTTAATGAAAACAAATGACCTGTTAGTTCTATATCCATGGATACAGAAATGGTTCTAAGCCTCTACAAGTTTTCAGTTTCGGTAAGGGATGAGTATCTTGGCATTAGGTGGCGATGTCTTAAATTTACTACAACACTTTAACTCAAGATTAGCTATAATAGCTTACAAAACTAGACTGACCCACAATATTCCAATGATCTATTTATGCACGTTTTTAAGATTCACTTTATAGAAGCATACACACTTAATATGCATGGCCACAGCCTGAATTCATTCAAAGTATCGAACGTTTTTAAACATATCCTAATTTTGTAATCTATCAAGATAATTCTGGCCTTAAAAAATAACTACTTGCATAGTTCAAAAATTTTTTAAAGTCACTTTTTGCATTAAAATTCAGGGAAAATTTAGTATTTATCAGTGGCCAGTAAATTCAACAGAGAAACATCAGAAAGAAATACTGCATAGAGAAATTATGACATAAACATCCTTAACTAGCCAACCTACTAAAAGTTTGCAAACAAAGCCAAACAGAGTCTAATTGCTCTTATATGTCTTTTGTCATGGGGCTGGCCTCAAGAGTAAGAATAAATAGTAATATACATTAACCCATTTTAGGCTTTTTCAAGTCATCAACAGTTCTAGGATAAATAATACTGGATTATAATCAGTCTAGTAAATGACTTTTGGGTAAATAAGGAAAACACAAGTGTTCTCTTTAAGGCCATGTTAATTATCTCTAAGTATAATAAAAGTGCCGGTCACACTTCTACTTCACATCTATGTTCTCAGGATGAAAAAGATGTCATAATTAGAGTAACTACTTATATATTGAAAGTTACTGAGAAATGGATGGTTTCATGAAAATTATTTCCCTAGGTAACTGTGTACCCATAGGCACAGTACCCACTTAATTGCCAGAACATTAGAAAACAACATTTTAATTACCAAATTTTCTGCTTTAAGAAAACAGCATTTTTTTTTCTTTTTCTTCTTTTTTCCTTTCTTTTTCTTTTTTTTTTTTTTTTTGGTGGGTAGCAAAGCAAAGTTTATTGAGCCATAGCAAAAAGACAGTACAAAGCTCCCAAAGAAGGAGGGGACCAGAGAGGGTTGCCTTTTAACCACTTTTCTATGTCTCTGTAACATCATGATGTCCATGAATTATTGTAAAAGTCTGAACTATAATAGTTTTCTATATAATTTTAGAACTGTCATCTTTGTTGCAACTATACCTGACCATGGTTGCCTGCCTTTACCATTTAATCAAGCAAATTTTGAGAAATCAGAGAACCTAGGTTGCCAGAATTTCATGCATATTAGAGTATGAAGAACAACTAAGAGTCTCTTGAATAGTTAAATATAAGATCATGACCACAGCTTATAGATAATTTCAGTCACTCAGAAACCTTTCTCTAACTTTCTGGTTTTCAGATATATTTGCAGTTACTAGACTCTGAAACTTCTAACTTTATTATCATCATAATCATTTATCTTAAAGAATTATATTACTGGATATAAAGCTGAAATATTAGTATTATTTTCTTAACTAAGATCACATCTAGTATTAAATAAATACTAGAAAGGAGAAAAGTAAAACCTAACTTGTTAAAATGGACGTGAACTTAAAAAAATAAAATGTACATGAACTTAAAAGTTCCACCACAGACACTTCAGTGCTTATTCTGTGCTATCATTATCTAACAAAGAAAATTCATCACAAGGCCAGTAAAATATGTTGGGTTCTTTGCTACTAAATGTCCTGTCACTGGGGTATCCAGTTTTATAAATAGATCCTTTTGGCCCAATTAAAAATAAATTCACACCTTCTAAAATACGTTATGCTAAGTCATCAAACTCTTATACACTATGTATGTACATATATATGCATATAGTACCTAGCATGAACTACCTTATTAGTTTTCCTTAAATTTCGAATTCAAATTACACAAATACTAGTACTCTCAGAACCGCCTCTTACCTGACATAATAATCATTTCTGATGAGCAAAAAATGTTGTAGAATGGATAATAAGTAATTTTCAGCAGCAGTGTCCTTCAACATATTATATAGAAGATGATACACTTCATTCATATCAGTGAAAGTAAGTAAAGGAAAAAAATTAAAGCCCTTAATGAAAGTTCCATTCATAATAAAAGCAGCTTCATTTTTTAAAACACTGACGTACCATTTTGTTTCCCTTATTGTTTCTAAACCTTCAACTCCAGTATTTTAAAATTTACATAAATAAATTTAACCTATGGAATCCCTTTCATCTTTTAATGAGAGAAACAGACTTAAAGAATATTTCCAAGACCATTTAATCATCAAAACCTTAAGCAATCAGTTATTCATTATAAATTACAGATGACAGTAGTATGACTGGAACAGCAGTGCCATTAGAGAAAACAGTTTACTCTTGATCTTCCCGTGGCTGTGATAGAGGACCTACATTATTCATGTAAGCCACTACTCCTCTATTTTCACCACCACATAATATAGAAGGTAATGGAACATTCTATGGACTGCTAAAATATCACAAACCAGTTTTATTTTATACTGATAAAATATTTAATAATGTGAAATTGCTATTGTCTGCATTCATTTGTATTCCATTATTTAGTAAAAATGGAAAGTAAAGACAATAGAACTTGAAACATTTTTCTTAGGATATATAAAGAGTGGAAAAAGTTTAGATGCTTTTAATAAACTAGACAACAAATTTCAAAGCTGGATTCACTTTTGTAATAAAACTGAGGACCTGGAAAATCAAAGTAAAAGAAAAGTAGAAGAGGAAATGTAATCCAACATTCTAAAAATAATCTGAAATGTCAACATTTTCTCTGAAGTAGAATTAAGTATATGATGGATTATTTCTTAGACCCCATGTAACAGTGTTGTGTTAAAGTCTCATAAGGTCTTTTAAGTGGTTACAAAATGAAACCCAAAATAGCGTTATGGTAAAGTTTGATTATAAGAGAAATCTATACAAAGCAAGGAAGCAAGATATATATTAATATAAAAAGCATTTAATATTATGGAAATGACTGTAGACTAGAGTCACTAATGATGGATAAGAAATTACTAGCATTGATCCCTTATAATAATAACATAGTTAGCCATTGCACACACATTTATCCAATACTTACGTATAAGATACTTCAATAGTAGCATTGGAGGCAAAAGATGAAACATAAAACTTCTGCCCTCAATCTCATAGGGGCACAGAAGTGCACATAAATAAGACAGATAGAAAGTACTAGAGAAGTTTCAAGGAGAGGAATATTCCAGCTTTTTTGGGGGGGGGCAGTGCAGGGAGGAAGAGGGAAAAAGATGTAACAGAGAAAAATTCCATCTCAAAGGTCATTTTATTTCTGAAGTATTTCCCAATCTCCCCAAAACCCATAAGTAAGAAATTTACTGAGTGTGAAACAAATGGCCAGCAATGCTGTGACAACCATCTTTTAAATCTAAAATCATTTCATATAATATCGTTGCCAGAGGAAGATTATACACTAGTTGTATTTGACTCAAATGCTTCTACCAGACAGCCTTGTTATAGTCAGATACTATCACATCTAAACATTTTTTTTTCACTAAGAAACCAAAATAGTTGGATTGAGAGTAAGGCATTTATATGAATTGAATTGTATCTCTAAACCATTTGAGTACATTTTAATAAACTGAAGAAGTGCATTACCTACAGTTACTTATGAACTCAGTGAACTTTTCCCCTCAAATTCTTTTATGTGAGGTATATGCCTTAGGTTCTTGTCTATTCAAGACTATTGAGCTGAATATATCTATAATACAGCAAGCCACTGTGCAGATTTCAGTACAGTTTGTGTAAATCATCAGGACAATCTGACAATTCCTCAACATGAATCTCAAGGACAGCATCATAGTGAGGTATTAATATAAATAAATGAATATAAATTGGGCTGGTAAACAAGAATTCTAATAATGGTCCACAAAATCAACCACAAATCCTTTTTTTCACAATACATGCAAAATTATTTTTATGGTTTGTCAAAAGGATATTCCATTTCTGCTCGAATGTCATTGAGACGGTGTGATAATTCATTTAGGTCATCTTCTTTGTTCTCATCAAATACTTTCAACTGAATATCAAGTTCATCATTCTCTTTTTCTTTTAGATCCTAATATATAAACATAAAATGTAACAAATGAGTAAGAGTTTGACAACACCATATTTTGGTAATAAAGCACAGATACTATTATTCATTTATATACACAAAAGCAATTTTATATTGACCCAGGCACTTAGGGTTTTCTGAGAAAGTAAATGTACTATGTATTCTCCTATTTTAAAATAAAAGAACCTCACTGCATTCATTGCATTTTTTTTTCATGCCCCAGGTTTTGATTATTTACATTAAAAATTAACAATCACTTTTACAAAGGGAGGGGAGAACTAACTGCTAACAACCCAAATTGAATGCTGTTGTTTTTGACTAAATACACTAATCAAAGATCACAAAAGAACTCATGCAGTTAAACATTTACATATGCCTCTGGCGAAAAAATGCAAATATAGATCAATTGTATTAATGAAGAATAAATGCAAGGATATATTCAAGCACAACAGTCCCAAGTATGGCATAGAAAGTTGTATAAAGGATTTTATTTTAAATGATATTTTGTGATTTTGAAGCAAAAAGGCGTCAGGATTTTTTATCAAGCTGCATGACAAGCCTCCTCCCCCACTTTTCATTTTTGCTTAGCCGAATCACAAAATACCAACTTGGGCATCAAAGATTTGTTTTTGTAATACATTATAAACACATGCATTACAAACCTCTGATAATTTTTAAAAATAATAGTATGAACAAAATCTTTGGAAGCATGCCACACTAGAGATTGTTGGGCTTAATATATATCACCTGGAATATCTTTTAATATGTGTCCATTAAGTTGCAGCTTTCAAAACCCAAATCGATAATCCCAACTGTGGATGCTCAAGGGTGATAATGAAAGTGGGACTAGGATTTCAGAGCTGAGCTTGAATTCTAAAAGGAAATGCAAGCATGGTGTACTTCAAATTAGGTCAATAAAACAAAACAGGATTCATTTCTTGTTTCTATTTTTATTCAATAGAGCAATTATAAATGGAGATGTAATGGCTATTACTAAAGCCAAATGCAAATCTATGCAATTGCTAGATTTTTTCTAACATTCATATAATAATTTACTGAAAATTTACATATAGAACATATAAAAATACTTAGTATGTTTCTATATAATTTCATACAAAATATATGACAAATAAATGTATTTACACTTAGTTCCCTCTTTTTTTTTTTTAAGATTTATTTATTTATTTATTTGATAGAGAGAGACACAGCGAGAGAGGGAACACAAGCAGGGGGAGGGGGAGAGAGAGAAGCAGGCTTCCTGTGGAGCAGGGAGCCTGATGCGGGGCTCGATCCCGGGACCCTGGGACCATGACCTGAGCCGAAGGCAGACGCTTAACCATCTGAGCCACTCAGGCGCCCTTAGTTCCCTCTTTAGTAACTTGCTTTAGGTCTAGTTTTCCACTTTTAAATCTATTGGAATGCAAAATTATCTCTAATTGGTGGGTCATATTTTCAGGTGATTTAAGAACTCCAGTCAGACAAGAGCAAAATCCAGACACACCTAACATGCTGGTCATTGCAGAAACAATTGTTAACACATTTTACAATACAGACTTTTCCTTATTCTTCTGTCACAATATGTTCTTTCTTAGATGCTCACTACAAAACTTGAATACTTTTAAGTATGTTAGAAAAACAGAAAAATCTAATTTAAATACTGCCATTTAATTAGCATCAAAACATTATAAAACATGGATTCAATCTGCTTAACTATTTTCTGTAAAAATAACTGGTTAAATGTTTAACTGTTTTTAATTAGAACAACAAATTAGTTATAAAATATACACAGTATGTGAACATATATAGCACAATATAAAAACATAGATATATAAGTGCAATCCTATATTATTTATTAATAGTCTCCATTAAATAAACAGATATGCATATATACATATACACATATATAAAACTTCCTTTCATTCAAATATCAAACCCTGAAAAATATATCTATACATTCTTAATGAAATAAACATTTAATTAATTAAAAAGTTTTTCTATAGCACAAATATGATATCCTATAAAAGGAAATGGAAATGCATCACTAAAGTTTTATACTTTAAAATGTAGAATATCATATTACTGAATTACAGTATTATTAACTATTAATAATGTGAAATATTATAAATATGTTTCAGTTATTTTTTAAACATAATTGCTCTATGGATATGGAACATTGTTGGCAGTCTCTAAAACATATAATTAAATCTCTATAATTTGGTGTACTTCAAAGGAAATTCTATTACTAATACATGACTGATTACCAGTCAAGCAATCAAAATTGAGTCTTCAACAGAATAAGAAAGAGTTTGTTGGTATTTTAAAATAAAGATGCCTGCTGCCTACAGACATGATTTCTTACTATCTTGTTCCTTCACATACCTAAATTACCTAATATTTTCTAAATCTATTTAACTAAATAAAAGGCAGATGGAGAAAACTTCACAAGAAATCAATATGAGTTACCTATAGAGCAAATACTAATTTAAAAATCACTGTATAGTATATAACAACTCACTAATCCCAAATTACTAAAGCAAATTTATTCCATATAAATGAAGTGTAAACTCCCTTTAAACACCATAATATATCAATTGAGATAGGTGAATTTTGAAAATAAATTTTTACAGAATATAATTAAAATAACTGTCCTTGTCTTGAGGATTCTGATTACTGATGAAGAAAGTTCTACTGTACTATATTATTACAATGGTCTCAGGAGTTATTGAAATACTAAGAATGATTCTTCCCGAATCATTAAGTTTTTATTCAAATTCCAGTTGGTTAACATACAATGTAATAACAGTTTCAGGTGTAGAATATAGTGATTCAACACTTCCATACAACCAGATAGGTCTAATTATTTTTTTTCATGTACAAACAATTTGTATTAGCCTTAGCCACACCTAATCTGCTGCTTTGAATACGATAGAGTCTAGAAAATTAAGCATCTCCTCCTGTTAAAAACTCATCTATGAATATATTATTAAGCTTCAATGCACGCATACAGATGTTTAATACTCCCTAAATTCTAGTGGTTTAAGCTTAAATATTTAACAATGAGTTCATTAGATAATAATTGACATGTCAGGTACATCTAATATACATTAATGCATGACCATTCTGACCTTTGTTCCAAATTGTGATAATAAAATTACAAGAACAACATCAGTCATGAAATCTATGGTATTAAAGAAAGGATCTCTAAATCTGGGTCTTTCTGCCTGAATTCTGATTCTCATCTTATTTATAAGAAGTACCTGCAGAAGATTTTTTTCTTTTCAAACCAAACATCTCTGCCTTACCCTCAATAAGATTTTGATATATTCTCTTTAGAGGGACATGTCCAACCTCTTTAGTTGAGAACCAGGGCTGTATGTAACCATATTTTGCTCCATTGTCTTAGGGAGAAAAAAAAAAACAAAAACCCTGAGAATTCTTGTAGGTTCTATTCCAAAATTTTAGGAGGCAGACACATGACACTTCCTACTTTTCTCTTGCTGAGGAATCACTGAGTTCTGGGAATCAGGTCAGATTGAAGAGATGTGACAGTTAAAGAAAAATCTAGCTGATAAATATATGAAGAATGCATTTATTAAGAAGTACATGGTGCCACAAGAGGCTTAATATACAGCTACAGGGCCAGTGGGAAAGTGTAGCATAGAATGACGGATGCAAAATCTTCACTGTCAGTGTAACCAAATATACCATGAGACCACTGAACCCAGCAAAGATGAATATACCAGAGAAAAGCAAAAGGTAAGAGAGCTACCATTCATTCTCTTTCTGAAAAGATGACAACTTAAATAAATTAAAATGAGAGTAACAGTTTTTTTGATCAAACATTCAGTAGTATAAGGCAGAAAGTGAATATTCAATTATAAATAGATACAGGGAAATAAAAGATGAAAGAGTAATAGCAACAACTAAGGCACAATATGTGGCATCTTAGTAAATGAGTAGAGGATGCTAAGGAGCCCCTGTAGCCACAAGTGTCCAAAGACATTAATACTCTCCCAGAAACTGAGGACCACCCCAGTGAGGACAAGCATGGAAATCAATGAGTAGGTAACTCAAAAGCCACACTAGAATCAAGATTATAACATTATCTGTAACTACCTACAGCCACAGACATTTCATGAGGAAAGATTTCTGACAAAACAAGAATAAATGTATAACTAGTGAATGTGCCTAGTTAACTGCATATTAAACCTCCATATGGGTCACTTAAAACGTTGCTTTGATTCACTGCAACCAATTCCCTGTTGTTGTTTTTTTTTTTTAAAGATTTTATTTATTTATTTGACAGAGAGAGAGGCAGCGAGAGAGGGAACACAAGCAAGGGGAGTGTGAGAGGGAGAAGCAGGCTTCCTGCAGAGCAGGGAGCCCGACGCGGGGCTCGATCCCAGGACCCTGGGCCGAAGGCAGACGCTTAACGACTGAGCCACCCAGGCGCCCCTTAATTCCCTGTTTTTTTAAAGTCATGGATTAAAGTACCATTCAAAGTATAATTGACACAGAACTTTCTAAAACCAGATAGACTAAATCAAACATCTTATCAAAGTGGGTTTCAGTAGACTCACTGTAGGGTTCATTTTATGATGGTAAGTTTCAACTACTTTCAGTTAAGACTATCAGAACACAAGTTACAGATGCATGCTACACTCTCATTCCTACCAGGAAATTTCCCTGATTTTGGTATTTCTACTACTCTAAGTATTATATACATGCTTACTTGACATTTCTTTTGTTTTGTTTTGTTTTTTACTGCCTTTTGCTTCTTTTTATTCAGGTGTGCTCTGGGTAGCTTAAATGAAGAGACTAGTTAGACTTTACATGTCTCTTAACAATGCCATAGTTTTATACAAAATCCCTCTTCAGTTAACATACTAAATAAAATATAGTCACATTAGCTATATTTGTGTTTATAGAATAAGTATCCTCATTTATCTCAGATCAAGCCTATAAAGTTATTTCAAAAATGTTTTAACAGTATCATAATTAGAACATATATGCACATTCAAGAAATAAAACTGTTTTTTAGAAAAGTTTCTATAGCACTGTAGCAAGAATACCATTCCTAAGTATCTAGAATATACTGACCAAAATTCTATAGATACTTATGCTGAATATAAATGATATCAATCTAAGTTATCAAAGAGGAAAGCAAAAACTTTTAAATGAAAATTGAAGCCACAGAAAAAGAAAAAGCAGTAGTCTTTTATGTTCTCAGTATTCAAATTCAAAGAAAAGAAATTCCTTTTTGACTTTAAGAAAACAAAACAAAAAACAAAAACAAAAAACACCCACATCACTTCTGGACACAGTAGCTGAATTCTGAATCAGCAGTTGTATATAAAGACTGCTATTACTGCAATACAGAAAAGCTTGCAAAATGTCTAATGCTTTACAAAAGAAAATATAGCAAGGCACATTTATCTACTCTGTTGCAAGTACTTTGTCTAAAGAGAAAAATGTTAAAGTTCATCAGCAGACTTAATGTGTACACTCAACTTACTGGTAACATTGTTTTTAGTCCCGAACGTAGGAATTCATTCCTTAAATGTATTCTAAAATCAAGCTCGTAAGGTGAAGTGACAAGAGCATTTATAAACTGCATGCAGGCCACCTGCAATTAAAAATCAAAGTTTGTTAAAAATTCTTTTAATTAAGGAAATATTTACTTAATACATTCAGATCATTATTTTTCCATTAACTAAAGGCATACATACATATATTTTATGGATGATTATGACTTTACAGCATAAACAACAAAATTAAGTTTCTAATGCCCAGAATAATTCTAATGGAGATATGATGGATGGTCAAGTATTGCTATGATCTGCTAAATAATATGAAGGAATATTAAACTCTGAGAAACTTAAAGTTCCAAAAATCTGCATATAGAGCCCTTTAAAAATATCATGAAATGTATCTTTCATATTTAGCTGTCCTCAAAGTGCACTTGGCCTCAATTCTATATGGTTATAAACACTTTTCTAATATAAATCAAAAAAAGTACCCTGATATTAAACAGAGAACAGTGATAACTTAGAGAAATTATTATACTGATTTATACTGTCCCCATACTATTATTGGGATGGACTTGCAAAAAATATAGAGTATTAAAATACATGATTAAGATTAATTCATTTACTGTGTATAAAACTGAATGCAAGTGAATTAAAATCGACTAGAAGGCACTGTCACACCAATGCTAATGTGCACTACATGACAAAGTAAATATAAGGGCTTGTTTTCAAGTGAAGGTGATTCATTAATTACATTGACACTGTCAAAAAGGTTTAGTTTTTCATCCGATATTGAGGTTCCCTATTATAAAAGGGGACTTATTTTCTGGTAACTACAAGCTAGAAGGGAATCAACAAAATGCTAGCTGCCAGGTGATCCATAAATTATTCCTGATAGTATTTTTGGGAAATGCTGCTCAAGTCTAAGGCAACTACGTAATAGGTTAAGTGAGGAGGTGCACCTTTAAATTGATTATTCTTAAAGTATGGAATGAGTATACTGTACAGTGTTCAAAGAGCTGAGTGCGAGGGAACTCCTGGAAAATACCAGATTTAGTAAAGATGTCAAGCATATACAGAAGAAGACACAAAAAATCAAAAGTTAGTATGAGAAAAATACATCAGCAAGAGAAAATATTTCAAATGTATTTTGACTTGTCCAGACCTATCATTATAATAGTTATTTTTTCAAGTTGAAAGAAAAGATTAAAAGGTATATTCCTTTTTTTATATCTATTATCTTATGCATCTAAGCTGCTTTTAGGGAGATTTGTCCATCTACCTTACATCCAGGCTCAAAAATTAAAAGTTGCATGCTTTAAAAGTGATGACTAAAACTGTTTCTAACATTACTAGGTATCTAAATGACAACTGAACACTGTAGTCCAACACCTATGAATGCTCAAATGTCAGTATGAAACACTTAGACTCCGAATTAAATACTTGCCAAAGAATGGGCATTACCTTAAAACACATTTCAAATAAGTTACTATGACACTTATACCTTAATAGATTACTTAATCTTTCTATTTACAATAAGAAAATATGTAATACTTTATATAGTTTCCATAGGCTGGGATATAAGTTTGTATATTGTACATGTCCAGGGCTATATTATCATTGCATTTGCTTGAATGATCCTTGTTCAATGGTACAACATAACATGACCAAACAAGCCAAAGCACATGTCCAATCCAAAATTAATAGAGAGAAAAGTTGCCATCTGCTAGGAGTTTTTGCCAGAAGATATTCTAGCTTAATGGCTTGTATTAATACCCTACAAGAGAACATTTCCATGGGAAACAAGTTAATGAGTCTTAGAATTGTACCTTTATACAGATAAAAGTATTTATATCAGGAGATGATAAAAATAGTAAAAGTCAATAAAATTAATGAAGGTATCAACATCAAAATAACTACATTTAATAAGATAAATGCTGCAATGCTATTACATACTTTACATATGATATATAAATATATAAGTGAATGCTAAAAAAAAAAGTTGCATTCATTGACTACAGTATAAAATAATTAGGAGACACTTTGAAGCCAGTAATTTAAACGGGTAATGGCACTGGTTTATCAATGTACTATTTATTGTTTATCAAATTCTAACATATATCTAATTACAAATAAGATAAGCAGAATACTCATACCAACATGTCATTTTCCAAAATCTTCTCCTGAAGTGATACTCTTTTTGTTTTAAAGATTTTATTTCTTTAATTGTTTGAGAGAGCAAGCGAGAGAATACAAGTAGGGGGGAGATAGGCAGAGGGAGAGGGAGAAGCAGACTCCCAGCTGAACAGGGCGCTCTACCCGGGGCTGGATCCTAGGACCCTCGGATCATGACCTGAGCCAAAGGTAGATGCTTAACTGACTGAGCCACCAAGGTGCTACTAAAGTAATTCTCTTTTATAAAAATATTTCTATTATACTTTAATGCAGAGAACAAAAAAATCATCTTAATTATCTCCATTCCTTTATGCTACTACATAATCACTGTCCTTTTTAGAGGACAGAAACAAAATCAATCCAAAACCAAAATAGTTGTCATTATTTACAAATACAAAATTAAATTTTAAAAATATAATTAGTTTCAATGCCAGAATATATTATTACTTAATCATAAACATTAAATACCCATTATGTAGATTCTGAATTCACAGTTAAATACACAACCCAAACCATTTTCATATTCATTATTATTCTTATTATATAAACAATATTGAGGCTACACATAATTCACCATCTAATCTCATCCTCATAAAAACCATACAAGATAAGTATTACTATTATCCTTATTTCATAGATGATGAAGCTGAGGCTAAAAGCAGGTAACATACATGGTCACACAGCAAGGAGAAAACTCATGATTCTCAACCATATAATTTTACTCCAAATAAAGAATAATTTCCAATACATTCCAGATGCTTCATTAACTCTATTCATAGATTCACATGACAAAAGATTTTAAGGATGGATAAGATAATAAAATTTAACTATTGCATCATGTTTAATACACTGGAAATAACTAGTTTTGAGACTGTAAGTTAATTAAAAAAGCAATTCTTTTTAACATTTTATTTATTTGAGAGAGAGAGTGAACGAGAGAGAAGGAGCAGGGGGAGGGGCAGAGGGAGAAGCAGACTCCCTGCTGAGCAAGGAGCGCATCCAGGGCTTGATCCTGGGACTCCAGGATCATGACCTAGGCGAAGGCATACGCTTAACAGATTGAGCCATCCAAGCGTCCCAGAATACAATTATTTTAACAATATACTGTCTAGTATATAAAATGGTTATTTTACTTTTTTTTTTTAAAGGTTTTATTTATTTATTTGACAGAGAGATAGCAAGAGCAGGAACACAAGCAGGGGGAGAGGGAGAAGCAGGCTTCCCGTCAAGCCAGGAGTCCAACGTGGGACTTGATCCCAGGACCCTGGGATCACGACCTGAGCCACAGGCAGATGCTTAACGACTGATCCACCCACGCGCCCTAAAATGGTTATTTTATATGTCATTTATACCTCTTAAAAAAACAAAGTGGTTATCAAAATGCATAAAAAAATGCAAAAACAAAACAAAACAAAACAAACAGGAAAGGTAGAAAACAGTTCCTGGAATGTGTTACATTCAACTTCATGAACAATGAAGTATGGGCAGCATCCCATCATCCAGAATAACAGTCTCTCACTCCCTTTTACTTCCTGCCACCTCACTCTCTATTCAGCATACATTTGTATGCAATACACACACACACACACACACACACACACACACGAGCTATGCTGTTCAGTACAGAGCCATTAGTCACAATGCAAATTTAGCTTAATTACAATCACTAACATGAAAAATTCAGTTGCTCAGTTTCACCAGCAACAGTTCAAGTGTTCAACAGCCATGTGTGTCTACTGGCTACCATACTGGACAGCACAAATATAGGATACTGCAAAGTTTGATTGTTTAGCACTGCACTGGAGACTTTAATGAAAAAGGCTTCTGGCCTACTATCTAAAACCTAAGCTCCAAAGAAGTACAAAACTCATTCCCAAATAATGAAAGTTTGAAAACTGGCATGTTCAACTTCCAAGTATATAAATCTTTAAGATCATGATTGTCTGCTTACAATGTAAAATGAATCTGCTTTCAAAAAAAAAAAAAAAAAATCCAACCCCAGAGATGGAAAACAAAGAAACGTGTGATTTTAAAGCAGAGTACTGCTTAAAAGTATCAAATACTCTGGGTTCAATGTGCTCCTTTAAAGAAACTGAAAACCTAGAAAGATTAGTTGATTTGCCCAAGATCATATAGCTAATAATAAGCCATAAATATAAGACAAGAACTTGTACCTCATGACTTTTAGTTTTGGATTCATTCTACAACACTACAATGTACAAATCTGGTATTGCTGAATAACATTTTTCCCTCTACTGGAAAGAAAACAAGTGCCCTTGAATTGAATATCACAAAGTCCATTCTCCAGATTCTTTCTGTTGCTTGGTTTCTTTATAATAGCTTTAAGTTTCAAAACAGTCTGCCATATCTGTTTTAAATACAGGTTCCATGAGAATTAAAATTTAAGATTCACAATAAGTCAGTGAATTTTCTCCATTATTAATAAATATGGTAGGCTAGGACCAAAATTTTGATTTCTAACCACTAAAAACAGTAAGTTTCTTTATTTGCATTTCAATGATCTCCGTTTCTACATGATAAATGTATATGTTGCCAAATAAATGCATAAATATATATAAAAAAACACCAACACTGTGCATGTGATAAAGCATCCAATAATTTGTACAATGTGTAAGTATATACTAAATTACTATCAGTTTTTCCATCACATTATGATCGTTCCTTTACTACAACACTATATTATCTTTCTACAATAATCATCTACATTCTGTAGTCACAGGATGCTATTGCTCTCATCCTGGGGTATGGGATGTGATGCAGTGTGAAATATCACAAATGATACTATAAACATTCTAAAGGCAAGGCTCTGTATTTGTTTAGGGTTTTCTGTATAACTTCTAATTGTCCTCAATAAAATGATTAAAATATAATGGGTAAATGGTAATTAAATATCTCAAATTTT